ATCAAATCCTGGATCCGCTACTAAACCGATCATGCTCTCATCCCTAATTGACACCATCTTTGTTTGGGATAAGAACACGAAACCTGTACACCGGCTGGGCGCTCAGCTCTTAGCATGGGTCAAATGCATTGAAAATACCATTACGATTCTGAATGGAAGTAAAACTCGTGGCGCACCCGAAAAGTTATAACTCAACGCGAATAGTTCATTTTACCTACTCGAAAAAAAACTGGACAGGATTCAGAGAGTATTACTCAAATTTGTTCAGGTTTTTCCTTCCTTGTAACGCTGCAAACGTTTTGGTTTTTTCTCCTTCAATTGACATGGTTATGTACTGGAAGGACTGAAATGTAGTCATTTAGTATTGAGCACATTCCAAAGGAAGATGCGACGCGATACGTGCGGTCTGTGCTTCTGAATATACGGCCGCAGCTATTCATTCTTTCCACTCCGAACCACGAATACAACGAAGCGTTTGGTATGCCTAATGGAAAGTTTCGCCATGATGATCATAAGTTCGAGTTTACGCGGCAACAGTTCAGAAATTGGTACGGTTTTGAAGTTTTCCGACCTTCTGACTGAAGATGTTCAATTAACTGTTCTAAATAATCTGGCATTTGAAGGTTACACGAAATACTTAGTGATTTTCCGAACGACTACGAATATGCAGTCAGTTACGTGGGTAATGTCCAAGGTGAGCAATAGGAGGGTAGGGTTTTGCATTTTTTGTACTATTGTGCCAATTCAGTCCCATTTTTTAAATTTCGATTTAATGTGTATTCTGCAAAGGTGATTTACTCTTGAAGTTTAAGCTTATGCACACCTTGGAGGTGCCACGCAATTCGGAATAATTCGGCGCAAACAGAATGGGGTTACCACGATGTTGCCTCATGTCTCCTCAAAGTCTTATAAAAAGGTAATTCTGTCTAGGTCTCGCCCTTTTTTCATTCATTGAAGATTCTCTTTTAAAAAATTGCCTAATCTCGTTCCATTAAATCTGATGCGTTTTCATGTTCTTGTTAAGGTTGGAGAACTAGTAGTGAAAAATTCATTTTTCCCCCTGGAACGGGAGAAGATTAAGCAAGCGTTTATCCTGTGGTTGGAAGAGAATCCACTACTGCAAGAAGGCTTGACTAAGGTCGTTTTTTTTACTTTCGAAACAAATCTTTCTAAGAAGGAATCGGTTTTCAGAGCTTTATTGGAGAATTCTGGCGTGTATGTACAACAGCTGTTATGAACAATGTAGAACTCCCTGCTCAGCTCAAGAAAGGCCTCAGTAAGAAGGCACTAGTGTGAGTTGGATCTGCCGATTTCAATCAGAATTTGAGGCGCTACTGTAGTCGAAGGTAGGGGCTGTAGGCGGCGCGCATTCTGTCTACATTTTTTCGCCGATACACGTTAAATGCGCACGTTTCACTTTTTCACATTCAGTAGGTGACCAGCTCTACCCCTCCCTTGTATCTCTTGGGCCGATGTCATAGTTTGTGAATCGAGCGATTCGCTAGCGAGTCGAACTATGTACCAGCGACTCGACACTGTTTGAAAGTGGCGGGACCCAACGTTTAAAGGAAGGCCGCCACTTTCAAACAGTGTGGTCCTTTAAAGTGGACTTCCTTTAACGTTGGGTCCCGCCACTTTCAAACAGTGTCGAGTCGCTGGTACATCGTTCGACTCGCTGGTGCATCGGTCGATTCGCTAACGCGATTCGCAAACTTTTGACATCAGCCTCTCCTTTGGTACCGATACTATCCTCAGGAGAACGCGCTACCGCCGCTGATCCTGTTCTATGTGCGGGGGAGACAGGGTTGAGTTATAGGAGCAGCCATACTCTGCGTTTCTAGACCATGACACGTGATCCCTAAGAAAAGAGGTCAGCTACAACATCATACGTTCAACTTCTGGAGATCCTATGACGCACACCCTGTCTCTACCAAGTTCAGGATAGAATCAGCGGCAAGGGGCGCATCTCTTCGCGGATGAGGGACAGGAATGCGGTCCTTGAACGCGACGACTCTTCTCTTAGGCCTCACAGTCTTTTGTTTTAGCATAACAAAGCCAATGTAATTAGCTATGTGCTCGCACGGAGGGTGGAAAAACGGAGCTCGATGGAGTACACCTCGCGTTCATTCGAAAACCAGCCGCTAACTTTAAAGCTTATTGCCTACCACTGGCAAAGTGCAAGCTAACACAACTTCTAACTCTCTCTTAACCCCCGGTCTCCCACATCAGTCAACAACAAACATACATGAGTCCAAAATAGTAAACCCAATCATTTTCTAATAACGAAGCGAAATACACGTGCGCCATATTCTACAGCGTTTACCACCAGGAGCCCTCTCCAGGTTTCAGTTTTAGGGAGATCTTCGTCGATCTCTTCGGTTGGCGGGCCAGCGGGCGCTTGTTTCTATCGTCATGTGCTCCAGCCATCAAAAGTTCAAGTACTCACGTAACTCCCGAGGTGTGAAATACTTCTTCTGACGAGATTTTCGGCCACGCAAGTGTACCAGTGAGTGCGCCGACCCACACACCCCGGCCCCTCAGCTAAATCTCAGAACAAGAAGGGAACCACCCACGCTCTTGCGCGCGTTGTGCTTCAGGTACCAGCTGAGGCTAGGCCAGTTTCCCGACCATCTAGGAGCACCACCGAATGTCATAAATAGGCGAAAAATAGTGAATATATTAATATCTCTTTTCAAGACGCACAGTTTGTTGCGTTTAGGATAGAAACTCTGCAAGCTGCAAATATGACACTTTTCCAGCGACCATCCATCAACGCTAAGTAGTTGACATGTTGGCTTTTACGGAAGAACAATGAAAATACAAAGCATTCGGTCTGTCATTCCTTTTTGAAACGCAGCATGCATTGCACTTCTATTCTGTAGTGATAGTTGAATGGGATTTCGTTTACACTTACAGTAACTGGGGTAAGCCGATGTCCTTGTCGGTGTGCTAGTCACGTACGGATCTGCTAACAACTCACCTCTAGCGAGCATTGATCGTCTTGAAGGGGATTTGATCTGAGATTTGAATCCGGCACTGAGGACATACGGTAGATAGCGCTATTGACCGCTCCACGACAGTCCTGCTCATTTTTGAAGTTTTACCGACGCTGGACATTCGGCATTTGCCGTAAATGCCACAAATGACAGTGTGGATGGAAACACACGTGAAGTACTGATCAAATAGTCAGTTCTGTGGTGGGCGCCAGCCTTCCCTCTAGCTATGTTCCGGCTTTGTCATCCTCCAATATTACGGTGGAATTTCTTTTAAGAGCAGAAAATTGAGCGACCAAACTATAAATGGCGACTAAACTAATTTTGGTGTGCGTGGAACCGCAACGTGTACTTCTGGCCACTTTTTTGAGGACATCCGCTGCCGTCCTCCTGAATTAGCAGCCATAGCACTCTCCTCTCCGTCCTCGCGCTCCACACTATTAATCCAAGCGATGATCTGCAGCATTTTTCACATGAATTCAGTTCACTCATGAAATGAAGAGGGATATGGAGTAGAGTTCTGGTCATCAAAAGAATTTTAGGGATGTGCTGCGATTCCAATGTAACGGACGGGTAATCTATGAATCCCATGACGGCGAGGTTTACTTAAACATTCCCCACAATGTGACGAAAGAAGAACTTATCGAAATAATGACTTCGAAAAACTCGTGAGTGTTCCACACTTCATATTGGCATTACTTCAAGGTGTTATTCTATGAGATGTTACAGTTTTCGCCTTCCAAAGGGTTTGTGGTTGTACTACTATGTATTATTTTGTTGAAGTTGTTATATTTTTACATTAATCAAGCCAACGTATTTACTTCGTTTTCATTTCGATTTTTTGAATCATTCAAGTCCAACTTTTTACCCTTCCTGATGTGCCTGTTTTCCATGGGCTCATCACCAAATTACTTATGTTATGTTGGAGTGATCCTCAAATTGGGAACGGTTTTTCAAATTGCCAACATGACCATGGAAAGTTCTCTTATGTACATGAAATAAGCTCTCATGCGAAGCTTCAGCTTTTTATATGGAATGATCTGTTTGTACGTTGTAACACATCTCCGGAAGTTGTTATTATTTGCGTTATACTAGTAACTAGTAATTATGATTG